GGGGGTTTGTGCCGGTCTATTGTAATGTTTTTCTATTTGCGGTAGTGAAAACAGTTTGATTTGTTGTCATGTGGGTTCTGCTGTTTTTGGTTACACAACGAGACGACGCTGAATCCTACAGGTTCTTGCGCAGGATCTCCTGATGAGGCATTGCCGTCGCCTTCAGTCGGCCGGTATCTCGTGCAGCACCATCTGTCGAGAACAAGCATTCTAGCGACGACATTTTTTTCTGTCGGTGTGTTTGATGCAAAAGGATTTCATCGGGGGGGGGGGGGGGGTACTCATAGTCGTACATGCCTTAGTCGTTGAACATTGACCGCGCATCCCTACAAAGCCGGGACGGAGCACGCTGGGTTCTCACCGGACCAGGCTCTCACATCACCAAGCGCGAAGCGCGGTGAGGTACTCGGCGAGTCGCATGAAGGGTGCGCTGCATCCTGCTATGGGTGTTCGGCATCTTGTGCTTACTTCCTGGGTACGGATGACAGCTGCGTATAACTTAATTTATTTTCTGGTGCTTTCATTTCCAGAGACAGTCATAAGCACTGTGTAACTGCCTCAAAGATGCTTGACCAATTTAACACAACGTGGTGCGATCATCCCCCTTGCGCGGAGTGAGGGTTCTCGACCCCACACAACATGATCTACTCGACCACCATTATGGTTACCGCAAAGCTAAACCGGAGGTGAAAAAAACCCGGTAACCTGGTTGTCGAGTTCACGAAGTGAATTGGCTTTTTTTACAACGTCGTTGCCAAGCGACGAAAACCCAACCCCGATGGCAAACACCGAGGGGATCTCATCGGGGGGGGGGATTTTCACTTCACTTTCCGTTTTATTTGCCCAGGCAAAGGAACGCGCACCGCGGAGTTTGAGGGCAACCTACGGAGAAGACACAGTCAACAACGCTGTGCACGCAAGCGCTTCCGTGGAAAGCGCCGCCAGGTCGGGTGACGCATATTGTAGCGATACCGTGGAGCAGAAGATGCAGCGAGCCAACTCTTGTCTATCACGATATGAGCCTCGCTGCCGATGGTTAGATGTCGTTCCGGCGGCGGACCTCCAATGAACACAAGTGTAGTACTCCGCGGTGTTGCATGAATGTTTTCCTCAGTGACTCTTGCTTGTTCGCGCTCCTTCTGTTGTTCGAAAACTTTGCACGCCATCTAGGGATCTGAATTTCTGGTTCCCAGAGAGTGTCCGGGAAGTTTCCTCCGGCGGGAGTCCTGCACCGACCTCTACTGTTGCCCGGGGAGACCCGAAGTACGACGAGATGATGACCTACATGCAGGAAGAGGTTAGCCGGCTCTACATCCCCGTTCAGTGTTAGGCTGAAATTTCTCGATATTACGTGATGATCATCCGCCAACATTTGGGTCATTTTGCCCATTGTTGCGCTGCACAAGCCGAAGAAAGGTACACTGCACGAATGGGTGCGACGGTCTATTGTGAATGAATGACTTTGCAGAATATTGGGGTAGGGACTTCGAATTACTTTAGCTTCTGATAATCTTCGGGACTACTGTACGACTACACAGGTGGATCCAGTGATATCACCGCTGCTGCAGCGTGTTCTTAAGGCCCGCCCCCATGATGTCGCCAGCTTCGCAGCCCAAGCTCTGCATCAACTTGCGCTGACAGGACCATCAACTGGAACACCTGACGCATCGTGAAGCAAAGAGCCCGGCAACATGTCGCAACTAACTGAAAGGTCGGGTGCGGTGCAGAACTGCGGAGCCACAACTAACTGAGATGGGCAGCCTCATCTGCTCAGTGAAAAGTGCACAAAGGGGTTTGGCCCACAAATCGATCGTTGTTGACCTGTAGTCTACAACACATAAATGCTGGTGTCCGTTGACCGGGTGGTCCGGTTTCCGCCGAGCAGGCGAGAGAGACGTGGGGGGCAAACAGGCATGGGAGTACTCTAACACGCACATTCATTTCAGAGTTCCAGAGATCTCCTGAAAACATTGCGGCGCTTTGAGACCTCGAGAGAAGTTTTGTAGCAAGTCGGTTGTCGAAGACACCAACATGCTCAGAGGCTACTGCCTGTCCGTTCGCGTCAAGCTGCACCCAGATAACCTATCAACTATGCTGATATTACCCAGACTACGCATGAATAGAAACATGCGACGCGGCATGTAGTCAAACCTAACGTGAGCAGCTTGTGCTCCTTCGACAGTCGTCGAGAGGTAGGAAGGGTAGGCAGGCGTGCGGAGCAACAAAGAGTGTATTGCCGTACGAACGCATATCAGAAACCACATTGTTCTTTGAGGATAACTAACTGAGTAGACCGTCTCCCCAGATGAACCAGCAGCAATTGCCGAAAGCGGGCGATCTGTACTGTAAATACTGCTGCTGTTGTTGTTGTTGTTGTTGTTGTTGTTGTTGTTGTTGTTGTTGTTGTTGCCTTCACATTAACGTGTCAGTTGCTAATCCCAAAACCTAGCCAAGACGCGGTCCGTGGTCACAAAATGCTATAGCCATCAGAAGATCCAAAGAACACGCAAACTATGTAGCAAGACAAGGGGTACACCTACATCTTTGCAGCACGTTTGCGTGCCCCAAAACTGAACTACCCGTCCACACACTACATTCGACTACAGCAGCATCACCCCCACTGTCCTATACTCTACCAAAATTAATGTCGACTACAGCGTACAGCTGTCTGGAGTGCTGCATGTACAATGTAACATCATGGTAGGCATGGTACAAGTTCGGGGCGCGCAACTGCTGTCTGAAGTGCTGTCAGAATGCGTCCGTGGACATACAGTGAAAAAGAACAACCAACCAACGCCATCTTAGGGTTCTTGGTCTGAAAATTCCCGCGCCGAAGGGTCAACCAGCCCACTCACCTCGTCACGACCTGTTCCCTCCTCCCCTTTGATGGCGAAGCCAGGTTACTGAGACAGTACAACTCCCTCTAGCAAACCGAGGGCCGTGTAAATAGTGCCCGTCCACCTTTCTGATGGCGTCTGCCTCCGCGCACAAAACTGAGATGGACATGGCCGTCTACACCGACGGCCATGAGGCCCGCGCATCTGCATTTTTGTACCTGACGCACGAGTCCGACCCAACTCTACCACTACGCACGCCTCGCGGCGGGTGCGCCGCAGCAAGAAGGTATCGGTCCCTTGAGCGTGAGTCTAGCCATGCTCGCTAGAAAGACCCCCCCCCTCGCTATGGGCCATGCATAAGCAAAAGCCTTGCCGAGGCAGCGAGGGGAAGAAGGAAGCCTGTAGAACCACAAAACAATCTACCCTGTCGATGCGCAGGTGTGGATGTTGGTATTCCTTGGTGACTAAAATTTCAATATCCCGCTGACCAAACTCCAATTTTTTCAACTTCCCGTTGGCTATCGACGTAGTCTATGTATATTGATTCCCGGTTGACTATTTTTTTTTTGTCTTCACTTCAAATCAGCGCTCACGGCACCAGTGCCGTTTACTCCAACCCGTGATCACACAGAAGAGCCCCTCTCTACCCTCCCCTCCTGCGGTACTTTGCCTTCGATTTTTAATGCGAGAAGAGTTCAGCATTCTCTTCCCTCTGTGTACACACGAACTAGCGCTATCCACTATGCCAGGAGCGGAAGCGAGAGAAAAACCCACTTTGCAAGAATAGCTCGCTTACGCCGGGATTCGAACCCCTGACCTGATCTCTAGTAGGTTCCGAAGATACCAACTAGACCACCGTGACTATGCAGACTATGCATACTCTTGCGTAGTCTGGCGCCAGAACATGTGGGATGAACACACACACACACACACACACACACACACACACACACACGAAAATACGTTGAACCAAAACACGCCTTACTGATTTGGACCACCAGCAGCCTCGCGGGTCCACCCCAACACACTGTAGTAGGTTTTTTTACACAGTTTCACAGCAGTCCAAATATACACAAGCACGACGTGGCCGCGCTACGGAGGAGATTGTCTGCGGCGCAGCCTGCTGATCGAGAGCTGTCTGGGCATGATGAGTGGAGAGATCGGAGCACGAGTTCCTTCCGTTAACTCGTTGGCGAGAGCGTCGTGCAAAGCTCTGGAAGACAGCAGCAGAAGCAACAGCAGCAACAGCAGCAGCGGTGGCAGCACTGATGATGCTACCCGCGACGCTTTGCGTGAGGCGAACCGCCTCCACTGTAAGGAAACGCGTCAGCGAAAGAGAAAACAGGAGCAACTTCTGCGCGAGGTGCGTTGTAGTCCATCACGTGCTTCGAAGTCCATAGCAAGATCAGCAAGATCAGCCAGCGGCGAACGATAAGACGTCGACAGCAGCATCTCCTGTAAGGTGCATGGTTGTGCACCAGTGTTTTCGAACCCTATCCTGTACCTTCACACGCACTGGAGCGGTACATGGGATCCTCCCAAGAATAGTTTTGCTGCAACCGTATTGACTCAGATGATATGGATGTCTGAACACTCGATTTGGAGCCTCTTTCGCTAGGGTCCATAACACAGCAATATTAGCCCTTTCTTGTTGCTGTCCTTTGCCGTCTACTGAAAGTTTCCACATTGGTATCTCTACTCCGGAGTATCGTCTGTACCTCAACCCTCACATGGTGGCCAAGACTGTTTGGTGGAAATGTTGTGTCAACAGAATACCTGCATACATACATTACAACATCTGCCAGAGGGCGGGCGTGATCGATCTCCTATTATATCGGGTTGAACCTCAACTGCTGCCAGAAATTCACCTCCCCGGATATTTTCCCCGCCATCCCGACAGTCGGTTGCAGTCTTGTGTATATTGGCCCTGCCTGTCAGCAGCTACAAGAGCCACGACTACCGTAGAGCTCCAATTGCGCACTCGCCACCCCGACGCGAAATAAATTCGATATGCTGACTGTAATTACATATGACTGCATTCCTGTACTGTAGGCCAGACTACAAGTTGCAAAATAGTCCGAAAAAACTCCGCTTCCACGTTCTGAAAGCATCACAAAAACGTATCAACAATTATTTGCTCGCACTTTTTTCATTTTGTCAGGAAGTGAGTATCCTGGAACTGTGCAAGTCCATCGTGGAACACGGACCGGACCTGTTCTCTGTCCACGGCTTTCACACGACCGCACCGTTCAGGTTGGTGTGTGTCCAATCAAACTCTCGTTATGGCTGTCACCTGTAGTTGCTGATCATTTAACCGAACTGGCCAGGAGATCAAGCTACAACTTGTGGTTGAGCCTTAGACTACCGCAGATCCTCCCAAGAACCACCTGAAGAGAGGTGATCCGTTCGTTCAGAAGTACACAACTTAAGACTACGCGTTCGAATTATGCAGGCATACGCGGTTCGAGGGGTACAGCAGTAGTGCCAGGTGATCTCAGCAGCTAGTTGCCGGACACATACCACCGCACGGGTGCGGCACAGTTTTCTCGAGCTTGTACGAACGGGGAAAGCATGCAAGCGAACACCACAACCACAACACCCTGCCGTGATCCTCTTCGAGTACCTTCTTTCACTCATGAAATTAGTCGAGCCTTAGATACAACATAGGGGATGCACGCGATACTCCCTTCTCAATAGACAACGATGTTCGTTGTTGAAGCTCAAAACATGTCAATGCTGTTCCCCATATTCATTTCCAACGACCGACCAGGTTCCTGTGCGAGGACTTTTGCGACAGGCTGCAGATGGAACCGGTGGAGTTCCTCGGGAGACCGTTGGCAAGTATTGTGGACCCACAAGATGCAGACATTCTGAAGAACGCCGTGGCTCGAGTACTGGACTCGGCCTGCGACAACAATGGCACCACCAGCACGTGAGATATTATTCCGCAAGTAGCATGGAAAATGGATTTCAGACAGACGCTCGCAGAATACTCTGTTTCGATTGCTGCCGGCCGTGTATCACCTATTAAAGTACGTTGCAACGTGATGCAACCTCAGCAATGTTCATGGTCGTTCTCATCGTATCGCTCGAGGGGTGGCCATGGCAAAGGATCATGCGCCTCCATTGACCCCCGATGGGGAGATACCTGCATGCGGCCATCCCAGCAGCTTCTTTCAGAAACGTGTTGGCAGCGGCAGCGCCGCGTCTTTTGCCATGTGTATAGACTAAACGTGACCATTCGAGAGAAGTACAGCTCGGGCCCGATAATGTACGAATATGATGCTCGCCCGTCCCCGGATACGCTCAACAATGCATAGAGTTGTCTGGGAATTAATGTTGCTCGTACCGGTGTCTTCAGGGCGCGTCAAAGGGCAAGCAAGCTCTTGAGGTAGTTTATCAGATTCGTTCGGGGGGAATGGACACGTCGCCAAGTCGTCGTGAACAGGACTGATTCCGAAAAGTGACCCAAGACACTGCTGTGATTTTCTTTGCTTGGCCGCAGTACCGCACTTTCTGTCCATGTTGCGCCCTGAACGGTCGGTGAGGCTTGCGTGTGTATGAGAGGTCGGTGCTCGGTGCGTGGATAATGAGTAAGGGTTTTTCCACGGAAGGTGTGCCTCAAGGTTTTTCTCGTCTGGTTCAGGTGCAGTCTCTCCCGACGGGCCGCAGAAGGAATTCAGTCAAGCCAGTCAAGCCCGTTCGAACTCAAGGCAAACTCAACAAATATAGTGCTAGTGTACAGAGTAGTGTATCTTGCAAGGCAGTTAATATTTTCCACTGCTGGACGCTGTGTAAATAGTAAATAGTTGCATTCAGGAGTGTTTTTTTCGCTCTGTTCGTGACTCTTCCAATCTACGCGGTTTCTCGCCATCTGATTGGTCATGCGTTGGTTCCTAGTCTTGACCCTCTCCTCAGTTGCGTTGTTGTATTAGTGCATGAAAGGGATTAACTTCCTGCATACAGGCAGACGTGGTCTGAACGCCCACTGGCTTGGCCCCCCGAGGTGAAAATCAATGTTTCAAAAAATGTGACTGCGTCCCTCCCACCCGCCCCATGACTTGCTGCCTTGGACTGCATGCTGCATCCACTTCCAGCTGGACCGATTCTCCTGACAGAGCGAAAGGGTGCCTCATCGACGTACGCTTGACGAGACACGGGCTGTCGTGCCCGGCGGAAATGTCCATCTCCATGGGAAGCCACGGTCTTGTCGTCGTCACTCGGCTGTATCGGTCATGAGATCCTGACGATGTCATCCTCGGGTGGTAGGCAAGGTGGTCGGGGCGATGAATTCTCGGAAGACAGCGAGGGGGACCAGGCACCAAGTGGTAGATATTTTAATGATCCGCAAGAACTGCGGTGGCACCGAAAAGCGGGGTCAGCGACACTGTTAAATTTGGAACGAATCTATCTATGGTATTGGTATAATATATATGCGGTAATTGGGTGAATCTCGGGCGTCTTTGCTCTTTTAGGTTTTTCTAGACGAGCGTACTGCTTTCCATCGCAGCAAATTGTGTTGCGCTCTTGCCTGAGGTGTGTTTTCTTAGGAAATTAATTCTATGGTGTCATCCCCATCCCTTCTGGCAAAAACGTTGATGGTGCACCGCATAGACGAAATACGTTATGGACTTGAAACGAGGAAGTAAAGCAATACATTGTAACGGTAATTCTCAGGATATTTTGGAATGTTTTGTTTGGTGATTTTCTCATGCGATCGTGAGCATGCATGAAACCGCTTGAGAACTAGCACCGACAAAGGGCCGCTCACTCTATCATGCTCCCAGTTGGTCGTGGGGGTGTCGGGCAGATGGTGGTCGTTGTCAAAGGTGGCATGGTGGGGTCAGTTAGTCGCAGGTGCAACCAAGGTTCCCTTCTTGCAAACAAGTGTTGAGCTGGCACTCTACATAGTTTTTTATCGGGGCGGGTCTGTTTTCCTACAAGGTGTGATCGTCTTGTGGACGAGATAGGTTGGACTCATGTCCAGACCTCCTGGACGGACGAACAGGAAACGAAACATAGGATTGGCAGCATTGAGGCGGGTAGACCCTTCGTTTGCTAAGACCTGTATCGCGGGAAAAGTTGTGTGTTGCTTTGGAGTGAAGTAAAATGAGTAGAGGCAGTGGGAACTGAGTGCCACACTGTACACCAGATTTCATTACACTACATGTAGACGAACGATGACTTTATGGTGGAGTGCACGCCCCATTATAAACTTCACATTGATTGTTGAAACTTTCTCCGTCCGGATTCGGTCGGAGGTTTTCGGGTCATTACGCGGAGTGAAACTGGACCACGCATATATGTTATGGCGGCTTTGACGGCAACATGGTTCTTATGCCGTCAGAATGAACGGCATCTCATTTGGTGCTCGAAGCAGTTGTGTTGGACTCCGAGGTGGGTCGACCTGCGGACACTGCCGTCGATCGAAATGTTCATAAGTCGCCCGCGGACATCCCTAATGTTTTCCATGAAAACCTGGCGATGATGCATTCATGATGGGATGAAGATGCACAATATATTTAAACGAAAAACTTGATGCTGTGATTACGCGATGATGGCGGTTTCGATCGTCGGCGTTTTACGTCGGTCATTGCCTAGAGAATCCAGACATGTTGCAGCGTACACACAATTTCACTCTCTAAATTCGCAGGAACATGTACGTATCCTATTACTCCAGCGAAAAAAAAGGTTCAACATGTTCGGCGTTTTTTTCCCCATGGGCCCCTATTGATTGAGTTGGAAACACTGTCGACAGTTCTTTTTGCCCGTTTCACTTTTGCTGGTATGAACGAAGGTTGGTGCTTGACGTACTATTTGGCAAGGGATTGGGTGGCGGTGGTGGTGGTGGTTGCAGGTTTGAGACTGCCTCGATGGCGGTGTCGCTATTTGTTTGAAGATTATGTTGAAAAAGCTGACGTCTGTATCATGTTATCCATAATACAATGATGTGTACATCGATTCGTAGTCTCATCTAACGTGGCTCTCTCCTTTTTACCCCCCTTGAGCACAACAAGTTCCTCGCACCTACGAAACCAGCTAAAACTTTCTGGGCATGAACAGGTTCAACCCGGGCTGGTCGATGTCGACGATCCGGTTGTTTTGCTCAAAAGCAGTACTCAAGCATGGACAGATGATGTCCCTAAGCTACCAAGGTGGGATTGGAGTCATCCAGTCACGACATCTCGGTTTGGTGTCTGCAAGCCCCTGGGGAGCACACAAAGCCCGCGTTACAAGCAAGACAAGCAAAGAAACCCACCTACAGAGGTCATTTCTCGTGTGAATTCAGCTTTCAAGTAACACAGCGGCGCAACCACCTTGAGTTTCCTCCAAGCGTCCCCCTGCCATACACTTCCGTTCACGACCAGCAAGACCTAAAAAGGCAGAGATAGCGTCATGTCCCCAGTGAGGGAGGTGAAATGTTTCTTCTCGCACGACGCCGCGGACACACGGTGCAACGACCTTGCGTCCAAGCGTTAGGGGCGACAGCTCATACAAAGAAAGCTGCTGAAATCGAGGCATGAAACACATCACCGCACCGCGAAGTAGAGTCTACACCGAAAAAAAAAAAGACGAACATTTCATTTAAATACGCAGGAGCTGCAACATCTCGAAACAACACGAAATACAACAACTACACATCACGCGTAACATCGGATAAGTAGAACGAGAGCCTCTCTCTTTCGCCAACACGTGATGATACACTCCACGCTCCTTCCGCACATGAAATCACATTACAGTACATGGTCCGGTGTAACGCCGGTACGATCCAGCCGATTTCACCGGGCAACCGGCAATATTCAGAGAATGAAACAACTTGAATATTCTATCTGTGCCAGACGATGTCCAGGGCATCTTTCCGGGCGACCGGCGTTGTTCGACGGGCGGGATCCCACTGAACCCCAACCCCAACGCGCAACGCGAATTGAGTCAGGCGCATCGCGCCACAGGCAGGACCCCAAAGGGCCGGTCATGCGATGCGGACCGTGTAGTCCAGGTTCGGAAACCCTTCGGCACACATGCGCCCCTTGAAGTGTCTGAGAGCACTGTTGACGAAGCGGGTAGCCATGCAGAGCACGAAGGCGTTTCGCTTGGCGGACCTTGGGGTGATGCTCTCGTACCGCGCCCCCGGGTGCATCTGCAGCGCGAAAGGGCACCAGAAGCCACGCACCATCGGAACACTTTAAGAATAACAGAAAAAGGGCGGCGCCCAAAATTGTAGGGCATTGTGGAAGGAGGCCAGGAGAGATACAACATCGAAACACTTACAACATGCAAAGCGAGGAGCCCGCAAGCTAGGGTAATGCAATGACACGTGGGGTCCACCGACATGCGCACGAGCTAGTGGTGGCGACAGGAGCGGTGTTGGTCGAAGCAGAGGGTGCAGAGTAGAGTGAAAACGTCGTGTAGAACATTCAAACGACAGGCGGGTGTCCCGGTGAATCAATCCGCAACGAAAACAAAAAACCCATAGCGGACATAGTAGCGGATAAAAGAAACTCCGAGAGCTTTCGCGCTGCGATCCACTCTCCAAGAACCAGGGGACAATTTCTACTGGTACTGCTGTTACCCCAACAAACTTCTACCACACACCGGTCGACCCCGAGCGGCCTGTTCCTCCTTGAGGGAGGGGGGGGTATCAAGACGGGATGCATGGGTTCCCTACCGGTACAACCTGCAGCGCTACAGTTCCAACTTGGTTTGGAGATCGACTGGTCTGCAGCTTCGCAGCGCTCTACAATAGCGCTCATTGGGCGTTTGAGTTTGGGCTCGTGCTGCGGGTGTGTCGGAGGGTGTGTGGGAGACTAATGTGTGTCGTTGTTTGTCGTTGGTTATCGTGAGGGAAGAAGGGAGAGGAAGAGGGAGAGACAGAGACAGCCCGGTGGGCACGGAACAATAATTTACTCACGGGGCTTCCGAGTACACGATAAATCCGTCCTTGTTACCGCTCTACAATACCGCGCAACATTCGGTTGGTTTGCCGTGCTTTCGCTACCCTTCGCGGGATGTGTGACCCTTCCATGGATGGATGCAGATTCTTCACGAAATCTGAAGAAACTCGCAGAGAAACAACATCAACAACCACGGCCGAAAATGCCGCCGCTGACTACTTAACAGTGCACGTGGATGTATGGATACCTTATAGGTGCTCTCTTGTATGTTCATGGGCGGAGTCTCGAGCATCGGCGTGTCGCACTGCAGCTGGTCGTAGTCGCTCTCCTTTCGATACCGCCTGAAAAAAAAGCGACGGGCAAAAAAACGCAAAAAAAAAAAAAAAAATGCGCTTGGTTTCTCGGCGTGCCACACTCCACTAGGGAAGCACGTTATGGGCGTTATTATGACGACGACAGCGACCTGCAATTTACGGTGGCCCAGATCACAGCGCCAGGGTTCGAAAGAGAACAACGAACCAGCAGCGGGAACACACATATATGAGACATGGTAACAGTGGAGGCAGCTTGAACGACAACAGCATCAGCAACTCGTCGGGTCAACTAAATTGGAGCAGATGGAGAGACTCCCGTCCGATCACAAAGAGACACCAAGTTGGTCACGAGACACACTTCGACATCGGCATGGGGCAAGCAAGCGGTGTCAAGTGTAGTGGTTCTGTCTGGTGTGTTAAGGGAGAGGTGGATAGAAACAAAAAGAGAAGCCCGAACCGACGTTAGTTTCACCGCTTGCACAAAAAAAAAAGAGAAAAAAAGCTGGAACGTAGTACTTCCGCTAACGACATGGATCATTGCTAGTTTATCCTGGACTCTCACCTGTGGATACAGATGGATTCTACACGATATTGTAAGCAAAAAAAACATGGAACCGGCCTTAGTCTCACCGCTTGTTGAAGAGCCACTGGCCGACGCGGTACATGTGGCAGTAGTGGATGAAGTTGGGCAATCGATCAAAAGACCGCACGTTTCTGCTCTTGATATCCCGGGCTGTGTCGACAGCGGCAACACAAGGCGGAAAGGGATGCACACGCACAAGAGCATGTCGGTGAGGATGGAAACGTGAGAAAACATGGCAAGGACAACGCTAGCCTTCTTGTGCGCATGTCGGTAGAGAGGGCGAAAAAACAACCTCGGGCGATACGGGTGGGTTGTACTTCCACCATGCCAAAAAATACGAGAAGCCCAACAAAGCGAGCGAGGAGCCCCAGTCGAGATCGAGCTACCCGCAATGTTTGTGTACCCCCAAGTGATAGAACAGAGAGCGTCTGCTGAGCTGTCGACTTTCAGGTCTGGAACGGCGACTGTGTCCATGAGTTGCCGCACATGATGCACCGCAGGGAGTGCACCGGAAATCCACCAAAAAAAAATACGACGGGAAAAGACGCTCATATACAATATAATACAAAACGTACCACGGGCACAACAGCAACGACAACAACAACAACAGCACCAGAAAGATAAGAGGCAACCGAACAGTACGAAAAAAACACTTACACTTGGCTACGCCGTCACCTTCACCGCAACGTTGCATTTCTGTATTTTTCAACAATTCTAAAGAGCGTAACATCCGTCAACAACAACAACACGTTCTTCGCCGCATCGACGCGATGTCGTCGATAGACAACGCGAGTTGACTCGGCACTTACAGTCCCAGCACTTACGGTACCACAATTTGGTGTCGCTGGCGGTACAGCACGTACGTGTATCCCTGACCCAATCCCCAACACCCTTCCAGAGCGCAAGTTGCAGAAATTGGCCGGCCCGTCAACAACGTCCAACACTCTGCGACGGTAACATTTGAGCCGGGTGTTTCGGTCGCCACGAGCCATCCAACATCCAACAAATTTCTTTCATTCACTGTGGGTAACAAGAGTATGTAAGAGTAAACTGCCCTCACGTTCGATGCCGATGTCGCAGACATTGTCCATCTGATGATCAACGGGGTCCCACAGCTCGTAGTCCACCTTGGCGGAAGCAACCGTCACGTCAATAACGGCAATCGGCAGAAGGGACATCAGTAAGAAGATACGGACATGGTACAGGATACACAAGATAACTGCTAAGGTACGAAGACACAGAGAGGGCTTCGCGCGTTACGATGGACGCCACTCGTCACGTCGACCGCGATGTCGTGGAAAGTGAAATGGAGAGTGGACCAGTAGTCTAGACCAACACCGGTGATAGCAGAAGACAAGGGCACGGCAAAAGTAGGCAGTCTTCTCTTGTTTTCATTGCTGTTGCTGGTGCTGTTGCTGTTGCTGCACGTGTTGCTGTCTGTCATTGTTCTTGAATGTTGGCATTGCTCTTGTACACGGCGAGTCGCATGGCTGGCGCCTTCAGCCAAAACAAGAGGACACCAAACAAAATACGAGTGTGGAGCAGCCACAATTTTCAACGATTCGTGGGCATTTTCGAAGTTGACCGGCTGTCAGTACTCTCACCTTTTCGTTCTCAATGGCGTAGTTGTTGATGCGGTAGTGCTTCATGTCAAGGGTCGCTGCCGCGGTAGCGTACGCTGTTTGCTCCGCTAGCAGAGAGGGATACATCTCGTACACCTGGATGATCAACCGTCAGCAGCGAGACAAGGGCAGAGAAATAGCGAGGATAGCTTGGTAAGACACAACAATGCTCATCGAAACTGAAGCTCGCCGACGCATCCCACCACCTGCCGTTCCCAAAAGAGCAGACTCACCAACGTTACCTACCCGAACACAGGAAAAATCCATGTCAGTTTCGCCATTGGCCGATCCCGCGTCGGAAGCGAACACACGATGAACAACCGTACGATGCCGCACCTTTGGCGCCTGGGCGACCCATTCCGGTAGCAGCCTTCGCCAATCATCCTGGTGGGCTAGGTAGGGCGGGATCAAGTCGTAGTACCTTTTCGCCTGAACAGTACCGGACCGCAGAGATGTGGATGTTGCAGCATTATAGGCACACGCACGCACACAGTGTTCAGGGCCTGCAGCAGCGTATTCCCGTGTGTAGCCGCTTTGAAACCGGCGTTTTGTTCTTGGTCGGCCGGATAGCGCGGTTGATGCTAGCAAAACAACAACAACATGCACAGCAGTGTCACACAAGTTTGCCATTGTACGTCAACAGAAAAAAAAAAGAGGCTAAACAAGACTTGGCCGGCCGTGGCGGTGCGCCAGATACGACGGGGTTTAGTCTTGGACATCTATGTGCTGTGATGCAACCTAAAAGAAGGGATTAGGCCTAATGCGTTGGAACTGTAGGCTGCATGCACGCATGCACCGTTTCCGAAAGAAGAGAAGGAGGCAAACAATCACTCGGATCAAGAGGAAACCTTCTTCCCCCCCCGAAAAAAACTCCGCAGCCGATGGCCCGATGAGCTAGGCATGGGCGGGGTTGTACGATATACAGTTCAACAGTCTTGCAACAACCGTAGAACGTCTCTTCATCTCATCTCATCTCATCTCATCTCATCTCATCTGAAGCGGATTCCCACATAAAGGAAGGCAGGCAGCCCTTGTGATTGTGTCATTCCCACAAGAGAAGAAAACACAGCCGCATAGACACCGAGAGTTCAAGACGACATACGACCAAGACAATGGCCCAGGCACACGTACGGCCGGATCACGCCCAACACCGCTCAACAGCGAAATAATTCGGTCAAGGCCGAAACAGTCAACACCAAACCGTCAAGCCCAAGGCCTCCCCGAAGCCTACAGTACCTACCTACGCGCCGCTGACATGCGGCACACAAGAAAGACAAGAGCTGGACGAACGAACGTTGCTTACCGCTGTGGTGGAGGTGGTGGCGCAGAGGGCGTCGTCGGGGCATATGTTGCTCAGGTCCCAATGGGTCCAGTTCGGGAGCCCGAAACGCTGCCCTGCCTCGACAGCAAGACGAAGTCACAGAGAGAAGGGTTTAGATGAAAAAATGCCCCCAAGTTTGCGATAGAATGAAAGCGTGAGGTTGATGTTGCTCCTGGTATCGATTGCGACTGATTGCGATTTTCCACGGGCAGGGCGAACAGGGTTGACCGACCGTACTCACTCAGCCCTCTACTGCCTAGGGCTTGGGCCCTGCCGGGCGGTGCCACACCTTGGGCATACTACCAGGGCAGACTGCGAGTAGACCTGACTGTACGTCTCGTCTCGCACAACAAACGCTCCTTCGCAACGTTGCTCCCTCTTCAAGACCGTCATCAGATGAACCGCTACTGATGGCGTGGCGAAAACCGCACTGGGTTTACATGGGTCTCGGCAAAATATATCTACAAGAAGCACATAACCGACCAACACCGTAGACACACATGTCGCCACACCTGCTGGGTAGCCCTTGCGAACCCAGCCCCCGTTCTCGAGCTTGAGCCCTTCCAAGCTCAGCCCGTCGCCCTTCACGACAGTTTCCGTCGGGCTCAACCAAGTCGTCAGGGGCTTGAGGAAGATGAAGTCCGGGTCAATCAGGGCTACGATAGTTTCCTCGACCTGTGGAGAGGGGCGGAGGAAACCGCACAACAAATCCTTCTTTCATACGGTGATATCTACGCTTGGTAGACAGGCAGAGTCCTGGTTCACGCGGGCAGCTTCCGGTCCGCCACTGATGAAAAAAAGATTAGAAAAAGCGAGACGTGGCGTCCGGGTGGGAACAGCGGCTAAGGAAAGCCACGCGACGAACGCACGACTGAATGATACGCGTCACAAAAAAAAAAAAAAAACATACCTCTGTCTGGTCCAACCATATTTGCATGGCATTCGGCTTGTTCATGTACGGGTAGGGTTCCCCGGTCTGTGCACCGAACCGAATCACGATGCATTCGTGTTGTTCAATCACCAGCGCCAACATTCGTGTTGCCGGCGGCATCGATGCGACGCCAGGGTCGTCATGAGCGTGTGCATGCATGTAGGCATCACCGTCGCCATCGCCAACACCACAGACAGAGACAGAGACAGAGAAGGGAGAGAGAGAGAGAGAGAGAACCAAGACAACGAAGAAAGAGCAGGAGAGAGGGGAAGAACTAAAAGAGGGGAGATAAATAGTTTTCGCAGGAGAAAATAAACCGGGAGAGGGACGAACAGAAGCCGTAGCTGAAAACCAACCGATACCGCCACAACAACAAGATAGAGCAACGCGAGTACCGTAGCACGAAAAAACAACAACAGGAGTAGAACGCCCGGGGCGAATTGAGCTAGCCGTCTCAACACGTCCACGATTCTAGTCACCACCGTTGACCGCCAAGCATCGCTCATCGCTCACCTCGGGGTTCTTGGTGACGAAGCCGGGTGTGAAGAAAAGCTTGTGCTTCGGGCTGTGCCTGACGACTTCATGCCTCGACTCCGCCTCCGCCTGCTCCTCGTCGCTACATCCGCTTATCTTGGGTCCGGGAGGGAGGGAAATCGGTGCCGCAGCCATGCACGCAAGCACGAGCGGAGTCATACGGCGAGGGTCGTTAGACGTGCATGCACGGTCTTTTTATGTACGCAGAGGGGAAACATGGGGTTGGGTATATGTACGTTTCGCGCTGCTACTTACCAGCTGGGGAGGAAATATAACGAGAGATTTTGAGCTGGCCATAGGCTCCGATGACCAACGGATCCGAGAGATTAAGTGCTGCAGTACGCATATGTAGAATGATCTACACCACCGCCGCCGCTGTATACTTGCCCATTCCACTGACGACGAACGCTACGAGTGGAGTGAGAGGTAGGTGGCATTGGATAATCAAGGCAGTCAATGCTTGATTTCGGGTGCTAAAAAACACAATCAAGACTACTCCTTGCAGTACCTGAGTACAACAGTGGGAGTGTCCGGGTCAGGGAGAAACAGAACGCTGTGAGAGCCAGGGCAAAAACAAATAAATCCAGCTGAAATTAAGTAAACACCAGGTAGCAGGATCCACCTGGCCGGTGAGAACGAGCCGCCGAGATGAAGAGGCGAGGATGACGTCGCGTGGCGGGCTACAACATTGTCATACAGCTAGGGAAGACTTAGGCTCACCAGCTGCGTGATTGGGCCTGTGTGGCCACTGAGGATAGCCGAATGGAAGAGAACGACGGCTTGCCATGCCTGGTAGTTGGTGCAGTCGCTCGAGAAGACCACGTGGATGTCGTCTTCGCCCAACGGAAACCTGTCCCGGACATGAACAATAAATAAGTACGTAAGGAAAAGCGGAACCACGTAGTATAAGAATAGCGATCTCCGTCGACTGACCGTGTCAATGGAACGTGACACATACCAACACAGCAGCATACCAACAGATGAACACCTTCTTCTAGTACCTCAAGCACGTACTGGTGAAGGCGGTGTCTGATGTATAGAGGATAACAACATCAACGGACCCGATTTCTGAAAAAACAAAAAAATTGAAGTGTGCCAAACTGGCTGTATCATGCTGTGGTACCGCCGTAGGGGATAGCTGAAACTTCCAATCTCTGTGGCCATGTAAGCCTTCATGTATCATGTGTAATGTTGCTATTTCTCACAGTCGGTCGTGGCAACAGCTTTGCCCGTCATCTCACCACCAACACCACCTAGCACACCTCGAACAACAAAATACAAGTACCAGTAGGGGGTAGGGGCGAGTCTTCGACGCCCACAAAACTACAGCATCGAAAAACAAAACCGCCACCAATTGTATGTAGTACATGGCACGGATGGTCCGTATCTCACCCTGGAGCGCCAGGGCCCAATCCAGCACCATCCGAGCCCCAAGCATCATCCGCTCCGTCGTTGTCACTCCCCTCTTTGCTCCCATCCGCGCTTCCCCCCTCCCCGGACAGGGCGTCACCCCCATCCGCGCTGCCCCCCCCTGACGCCGTCTCGGTCTCAATGTTGTTTCTGTTACCCAGCAGCCCATGCTGAGAAAACCGGCTACCTCCATCACGGACGGGCATCGTGGGGTGGTCCAGCTTAGGTTTCGTAAAGCCGATGCTTCCTGGGAACCGGGGTGGACAGGGAAAGGGCGGTCAATCATCGCTTGTGCTCGGGTTAATGACCATGCATCCGTTTTGAGCCAGAGAGGACAGGGGTGAACAACTGCATATCTGAACTGAAGTGGTTGCATGGCTGATGGCCAAACACCAGTCTATGGGTCCAACGCAAGACGCACGCGACTTCATCGCCATGGTTCTCTATCGCTAGAGAATGAGGTTCGGTGGCCTTTCATGGTGTGGAGTCTACGCTAAAGTTCTTCCTCTCTTTTGTGGTGGAAACATCAAACTTCTATCACAGCCATCACGACCATCAACACCCCAAACTTCAATCCGCTGTGCATGGGTATTTAGTCACCTCATCAGGTAGGCAGCTTTTCATGCACAACTGCACCACATCGGCACCGCATCTGAGTCATGGGCGCAACCACGCCCACCGCTGCTGTTTCAACAGCACCAAGAAGGCGTTGCCATCGACCGCACGACAACAAGACCATCACCATCACCGACAACACAAAACACCACGACCACTCACAGCCCCCGCCACCTGCAACCAGTGCTAACCCGCCCCACCCACCGGTAGACCCCCCTTAAAAGCCAGGAACCAGAATCATGCCTCAAAAAAAAAAAAAAAACTGCCTCTAACACAGGCACCTGGTAGGTAAGTATGCGTAGGGCGCCTTCGAGTATTTACATCCCGATAAAGCCTCCCCGGCCCATGGTCTCACCTGCATCTGGTTGTCGGCCCAAGGGTCTCGTGGCAAACGCAACAACTAGGACAAGAACAAGACCCGCCAGAGCCAGCCTTCCCCAACCCCCGCTCCCTGCACGGCCTGGCTCCCCCCGGCGGTTAAGCCTACCCGCCCCTGCCACGAAACGCGGCAGGAAGCCTCCCGCCCCCGATGGCCTGGGGGGTGCTGTTCTTCCTCGGGAGGCCGGGGGCATTGTGGTGTGGTGTTGTGTGGCGTGGTGAAGTTCGATGAATGACCTCTGGAGGAAGGGTCCGAGGAACAGTTATCTTTCAGAGGGAGAGAGAGAAGCTAGAAAAACACGGAGCAGGACCACCAGCGGGAAGGGGAAGCGGATGGCAACGGCGGGGGATGTGGTGAATTTCATCTCAAAAAAAGGGCACAAAATCTAATACCTAGTTTATTCGACCCCTGTAGGGCGAGATCGAAATTTGGGGGCACTCTTTGGTCCCATCTTCTTCATCTGTTTTAGCTCGCGAAGAAAAGAAAACATGACTGTCTTCACCTGTTGAACTCTTCGACAAGGGGTGTGCCGGCGAATGTATGCCGAGAGAACGTGGTCCAGTGTGGATGCTTTGTAGAGGGAAGAAGTGAGAGGAAATGGCAGGTCGAATCGCGGGACGATACTGCAAGGTTCGACAGCGAAGTTGCGCCGCGTCTATCTGTGCATGGGTGGAAAACGGAACTAGGGCGAGCGCGGAAGGAGCACCTCTCCCGCCACCGATGAAAGGAGGCATCGGGCAACCCTGTAGCTCTTGGGTAAGGAGGTCTCGCATTGAGGTCTCGCATTCTCTCTAGAGGGCTACATGTTCTAGGTCTCCTTTTCATGGCCCGTTTACCACGCTCCCGCCAGTCATCGTCTATCAAACAGCCCCTCGACAATCGAGACGGGCCTCTTGACAAGAGGCGGCTCAGGTGGGAAGGCAGCCTCGCACTTGCGCCCAGGGCTGGAACTTTCCTCATCATCCAGTCAGCAGCCGTCTTTTTTTTTTTTCCAAACATACATCAGAACAGTTCTCTGTGCTTTCGTCGGGGTTGTATGTATCAGCTATCAGGGAACTAGTACACACACAAAGAGGCACCCGCCCTCCAGGAATAGCAGATCATACTACAGTACTGCGCCCCCATCCAATCAGCTGCCAGCATAACGCTGGCAAGGAGGTAATCGAGTGCTGCACGTATCTGGAAGTGTACTATGCGCCAACGTCTCCGGTATTGTATGCATACCGGCATTCTCTGTGCAACAGTCCGAAGTACCGTAAGAATCGGAGAGTTGGCACCGGGTGCGATCGTTTTTTTTTATGTTTTTTCCTCGGGTTTTTTATCGCACCCCGGTGCCACCTCTCCGACCGGTGCCATCTCTCCGACCCCGGTGCGGAAATGGAATGAAATCATTTCGTTTAGAATTTTCAAGGCACCCCGGTGCGATCTCTCCGATCGGTGCGATCCCCGATGAAATGCACACAGGTGTTGTATGCATGCACCCCGGTGTCATCTCCCCGACCGTTGCCATATAGTATTGATTGGTCCAGTGTAGGTACTCAGGCACGCTCACGGTCTTCTGCACACACACGCATATCTGAGCCGGAAAAAGGTGGCGAAATACACATACAACATACCCCGAAAAAAGCGGCGAAATATTGCATCTGAGGTGGTACCAGTACACACGGTATCAATTGGTTCCCGCTTTCGTTTCGGTCTTCTTCTACGGATACCAGTACGTACGCAGAAGTACAATAGCTTCGGGTTGTGTAAGGTGGGGTAGGGTGCGGCTTGTACGTCGTGTGCTTGGTTGAGTGTACGGTTGGCAACTTCCATACCAATAAAACATGGTTGCGACAAGATACCTCGGCAAACCGCTCTGAGGAACACCAGGGAAGTTGACAACGACCGCCACATTGGATGTATATCATTTGAAAACTTTCCGTGCTCTACAAATGTTGTTTACCAACACCAAACATAACAAGAAACAAGCTAACATGATACAAACTGAATGCTATGCCCTACCTACCATGCACCAGGTGTACCATTCTCATCTACTGTAAACATCACTGATACGTTCCCCTAATGGATCAAATACGTTTTGTAAAGTCAAAAAGCGGCGGGAAACAACTGCTGCCCGTGAAATTAAAAAATCTGTAGATTTGAAAAACGAGTGATGTACTGCTGTAGCCTTCGTTCCATCTTCCATGATTTTTACAATATTATTCCTAATATCTAACAAACCAGCAAGCTGTCAAAAGACACTGCGCCGTGTCCCCTGTGAAGGTTACATTTTACAATACACGACACAACGGAGGGATTCTCCCCGATATTTTGTCGTTGACCCAGTAGACAACTACAGGGGATGTTTTTGTACTTAGCACCAGCTGGCATCACTGATATAAATCATCAGTGTATAGACTTAAAAAGACTCAAAATAAGTCCAGTTCCCAGCCGGTTTTCCTCCACTCACTGAAAAGACTCCACCACATCCCGTTCGACTGCTGTGGGTATATATCTCGAATGGGTAATCTTCCTATGTGTATATTTATTTTTCCTTAATAAAAATATGAACACAACATCCCGTGTGAACCGCGACCATCCAATCGTACGTAAAGGAGTGGGGCTCCGCTGACTCCGTCCCCACGTGTAAAAGGTACGCACATGTACCTCATTCCGGCAGCTGAAAAGGAGTTCAATCTTGGATTTGGGGGTCGGAGAGATCAAACCGGGTGCGATCTGACCGACCCCCCGTACATGATTTGATGTTTTTTTCTCGATTTTTTTATCACACCCCGGTGCCATCTCTCCGACTCTTACAATTGTACGGTATTTGAACAACGGGGCTTTCCTCGGATACATACTGTAGAACGTAGTAGTAGTATTGTCGGCAAATGCAAGTGCACGTGAATGTCTACTGTACAGCGTATCACAAGCACCCAGTAGTATGCTACGGCCACAAGCAAGAACCTTCCTCGGCAAACTTGAAAGAAGAGGTTGGTTGTACAATCACAGCAGGAGCTTGAGAGATCCGTTTGAGGGTCGACGCGGAACGCCTGAGGTTGCAAGGAAACTTCACCGGCATTGCCTCGACAATGTGCATCTGTAACGGGTGTGTTCGATTGGTTTTCAAACGTCGACGTCTTAGAGTGCAACAGAACCTGACAACTGCTACCGATTCAGGCGCAACCGGCAAGGCTAAACCGTTGTGGTATTGCGGCTCTCTACGTACTCGCGGGAGGCCTAACGTACTATAGAGCCGGTAGCTTCCCCACACACAAGACGAGAGGAGCTCTCTCTTTGACAAAGATTCGAACCATGGGTTAAAGAGTTTCGCATTCGAGGCGATCAACACAAGGCTCACCTACTGATCCACACAGCTCCACAAGCAGCTGTTAGCTACCGTCTGTCGCAGAGAGGCCAAGCCAAGCCAAGCCAAGCGAGGGAGGGGGACGACATACTGGAATCGAGAAACCGGGGGGGGGGGTTCCGTGCGGCGGGATATATGCCGTTCCGCTCTGGGCTCGGGCAACGGCAGAACGGCAGAACGGCAGCGAGGAAAGAGCAGAGAGGACAGACAGCGGTAGCATTGCACGTCGTACGCACACGGTATACGGTATCGTGTAGCGTGTAGTGTGCTGAACTCCTCTCTCCGTTGCTCAAAGCGCGTTGGACAGACATTAGAGAGACTCTGGCGGGCCAGACGCACAGCAGCAGGAGAGGCGGAGCAATACCACATGTGCAGCAACGACAGCAAGAGAATACCTGCTCCACACTGCTACTTCGAACTCGTGGGATACCACTACCCAGCGCTTCATTATATTTTAGAGGAGCAGACTGACCGCCGAAAGAATCGAGTTGTGAGGGAAGAATCGAGAGAGGCTCGAAACCAGCAGGCTCTAGGTGATGATTGGCGAGAGCAAGCGCCCAAGGTTAGCGGGGATCCGACCGGCTCCACTTTGCAGAGAAGAAGGAACGAGGTCGCACAGAATGATGATAGCATCAAGTCTTCCCAGGTGATCCAGACAGCATTAAACTCGTCATTCTTCTCTCCTGCACTGTGTTTTTCTTTCGCCACCATCGGGGTGTTGATTTTCCGAAAGGACAAATATTTCAAAGCGCTGCTGCTGTGTATCCATTCCATACGAAATCGCTGGCACGCAGCTCGTCGCCCTTCATGCGCGTCGTCGAACCGAGCACACCACCGTCCCTTGCCCCCCACCCTGTGTATTTGCTGATCGGCAGTACCGTACCCGACGTCCCGCTTTGCAACACGGGTGCTAGAACATCTGCATGCCCACTCGTCTACTCTTTCACGAAGTTGAGCACGCCCCACATGCTCACACCCTCCTTCTTCGCTCCCACGCAACTCTTGCCTCGAAATGGATGTGGTTCTGCCTTTGCAGCCTAGCGAGGCTGGGCCTGTTCAAGTCAGCCAATGACGCTAAGTCAAGATTCATTCACAAGGTAAGGGTAGACCTACACGCAATCACACCGGCGTGAAGAGTTCGTTCGACCAACCACCGATACGGTGGGCTTGGATTGGGAACAAACAAACCTTTGTACCGAGAAAGCCAGACGTCTGCCGCTGCTGGTTGATTCTACGTCACGAATGCAACTCTCTCCTCTGTCGGAACCCGTGGTACATTGGCTGCACAAACTCATTCCTGCTAATTGCGAACTCCCTAAGACTTGTTCTTTGTGAGAGCAACGCAGACATTCACTACCCCATTACCCATTTTCTTTTGACCTTTTAGCAAGTAGTTCTACAGCTACAAGTGTGTGGTATTGACGCTTGCGATTACCTTGTTCAAAGGGTCGCGTTCCTCATCAAAGCATTTGGAATTTAAATCTTCGTTCAGCCTATATTCACTCTAGGGGCCATGCCCCGACAGCTGCATTTTCATTTTCTCAGTTATTCGGTTTCAGGTGTATTTGCTGCATGACGCGACCTATCACCCCCGCTCCTGTCGATTCGATTTTCTTGAAATCGCACCATACATTGCGTCCTTCACAGCACATTAGAGCGGCAACGGCACTTTCACATACATCATCTTCGCCGGAGGTTGGCGAGGGCATGGGGATGCCAGAACCTCTCCCTCGTCACTGGGGCGGCCCTCCTGAATTCCCTCGGGCTAAAGTAGCTGCACCAGTGGCGGTGATGGCAACTGAGGCCGCTCTTGAGGACTACAGGCAGCGCCGGAGAGCCGAAAGAGTAAGAAAAACGCCTGGTTGTTGCTCGTCATAGCTATTGTGTCCGGATGGCTTCTTTACCCAGACGAATTAAGATCTCTTTTGATTACCCCGAAATTTTTCTGACACTGACGGACTTATCCAACCGTCGATAAGCGAATCTCCGTCATGGGTTCAAGTTTGTAGTCGCTAGTATCTCCCGAGACCTGACCTTCTCACTATCTCCGACTCACACTTCTCTCACGTTCTCTCGAACGTTCCCTTTTCCTTTGCACTTCCGGACAGATACGAGACCACAGGAGTCTCGGCAGTAGAAGCAAATCTCAAGGCCCCGGACCGGAGGGGGTAAAGTCATTGACGTCGGTGGTGCCGAAAGCGTCGGCGAGAGGAGCACGCCTTCAACGAGGTCGATCCGAAGACAGCTTCGTCGTCGGCAAGAAGACCAACCACTGCGAGCATCCTTCCCCGCGACACCCTCACCAGCATCTTCGCCACCACCCTCACCCTTGCCAACGCGGAGGGCACAACAGCGATCAACGCCAACCCAAGCACCGCCCGCCATCCACGCACGCGGTTATTCTTCCGAAAGGAGGGGGGTTGGTTTTGATAGGGGAAGACGGCGTTCGCAAGAGCAAATTCCCGAGGGGATGCGAGCTGTCAGCCGCGGCGATGGCGAGCGTCGCTACCACGCCACCGCTTGAGAGTAAATCAAGCGGCGAGAGCGAGGACGACGACGTGTTGGCACGTCTATGCAACCCTAAGCACTTCACGGGCACGGCCGCCACGGGGCATCTCCCTGTCGTGGTCGATCTCGAGGGAGGAGTCGGGGTGAGTCAGGCCCTCTCGCCCTCAACATTATCCAGTACAAAGTTTGTGTCGTTTAATGCGCCTGTGCTACTAATGGCGTCATGTGTTTGTGGGTGCTTCGATGTTTGGGTTTCGCGTTTCGTCGTTGTGGCTTCAGTCGTACCTGTATTGAGCGCTTCTTTCGTTCCGTTTTTTTCTAGGCAGAGCGTTGGCTCTTAACTTTATTCTTCCGGCAGATGACCTGCTGAAAAAGCCTTCACGAGTGGCTTGCTCGTGGGAACTTCCTGCCTACGGTTGCTGGTCCTGAACATAGCGCCAGGACGATGTTACCTGTTGCTTTGGGGGGGTTCACCGAACATCATGTACCTATCTCCACCAAAGTGCCAGATTGGTTGGTTCACAAGAGCTTGGGATAGTCCGCGTACAACGCCACACGTTGACATGCAGCCTTGTACTAGATCCCCGCCACCTTCAAGCCGGGGGCGCTTGAAATGCTACAGACTACGCAAATTTGTTTCCCACGCCCTACACAATATCTACGATGCATGGACCACGATTCGCCGCCGTCATTCACCCACAGCTTATTTTTCCTTTGGTAGAATTGTTTGTGTAGAAGATGCTGGGTCGGGGTCCCCGACTGCCGTTAGCGCTGTGGTAGAAACCTAAAAGCCAAGCCAATCGTCGTTTCGAAGAAGAAAAACTACAGCTAGCTGATCATCATCTGTCGGCAATCAATGTGGGTGTTCTGCAATCTATGCGCGTGCCTTCGCCAGGTGCTTCTCAAGGGCGCTTCAATTGCGGTGAAAGATCACATCGGCAAGCAGGAAGTCAGCTGGAGGCTCAGGCTGGCAGAACGACTCTAGCCTGTGGTTTTCATGGTCTGGCCTTACAAGATCTTGGATGAGCATGCACATGTTCCATGTGTATTGGGTTGGGTGAAGTCGAAGCCAACGCACCAAGATGCATTGGACAGGGTTACTTGTGTGGTGCTTCAAGAGGAAAATGGATTTGTCACCTTTATCGACGAACTTTTCTTCGCGTGCCCGGAGGCCACTCTTGTTGTTTTGTGTAGTGACATAATTGTAAGGAAAAACATCTGTGATACATGGTACCCCTGTCATGTTCAACAAAGCGTGGGATGTTGAACGTGAAGCCCAGAGACGTCGCAAGAGAGCTAGCATCCTCCTCCGGTGGGCTGTTCAACGGGCCATTGCTGCAACGCAAGTCAGAGCTCAAGAAATCGTCACGTTCTCGCGTACGACGTCAATCGGAGTTCCAAAAATCCATTGGCTTCATGCGGGTCCTCTGGTGACGCAAACGGCATTCTTCACGACACAGACGGGTGTCCATGAAATACACAATCCTCAGAATAACAGTGACTTCACCTACCCTTTCCACTACAGACAAACCCAAGAGGCACGGGCACAACAGACAAGACTCAAGAGGTCACAAAATGCGCCGCACAGTATCTAGGTTCGCAAACACCATGGCATCGGCCTCATCTACACACGCTTGTAGGAAGTGAAACTGACCACTGCACGACACGTGTTGCGAACGGGGCACACAAGCCAGCGGATCGCCACGCCAGACAGAAACACGCAACACCGTAATAGCCCATGTTTGACTAACCCTGACAGTAACCCGTCCAAACCACCCAATACACCGAGAGAATAATACCATATTTAAAACGTTCAACGTATTTTACTGAACACGGCGTACAGAAATGAAACCGCCACTCACCCGAAACGTCACAACGCCCAAACCGAAGGTAAAACCGGAAACGGGGGCGGGACCAATCGACATCAAAATCATCTACAAGTACTATATCACTTCGCTGGCTCTTCGTCCAAGCGAAGGCAGAATTCATCAGCAGGTGGGCTGTCAAGCCGTCCTTCGACGTACTGTGGATCAGTCGAATCCCCCCCGGGCGATTTGCACAAAAGGGTCAAGAGATTAAACGAAACGCTGATACATACGATCCTTCGGAACCCACCACCACGCTTTGAAACGCATAACACGCAGACAATTTTATCCAGAAACATGCCAGAGAAGAACAAGACCAAACGAAAAACAGCCGGAAAACAACAACCGGGACGCAAAGATACAGCCCATCCAAGAAAACCCCCAACAAAAACACCTACTGCACATTTCACCTTTCACCCAGAAGCAGACGTCCCTCAAGTAATGGGCAGTGGACAAAAGCCAGGAGACTGACAATCATACAATACTACAAACGTCTTCACCCGTTCAGGGCCGAACACCGTATGGCCATGGAAAATAACAACGGGACATGATATCAAGCCACCGGTACGCAAGGTACGAAACAACGAACACACGCAAAAGATCGACACTGGGAGCATACGGCCAGAGACGGGGTACGATAGGCTCCACGTGGGAAACGAAGACGAAACAACTATCATAGCACAGATCCGGCACGACACACGAAACACTTTGTACGAAAGCTTAGCGTACAGTCTAAAGTAGGTTAGCCTGCGGCAAAATGGAGGTTTCCACTCGCACATATCGTGCTTGCTAGGCCCCAAAAAATATCCTGTAAAACAGCTCACCCGCCCCCCAACGTCACAGTAACAGGCGCGGTAGTGGCAGGCGAGAAAATGCCGGTAAGTTCTACACAACGGAATTCTCGGCGACACCACTACTCGTTCGACCAACGCTACATACACAGGCGGCTGCTCCTGCGCGCACTACAACAAATCCTGGAACATTCCTTATCAAAGAGAATAAATCGCATGCTGATACCGCGGAAACGACGACGATGACGACGGCTCACCCACACAGAAAAATAATTTTCCATAATAAAGAAAAATTTCCATCACTACTAAGAATTTTCCCCACACAGAAAAAGATATTTTGCCTGGGGGCAAACATCTTGTTCGATAAATTAATTATCGGAAGTGAGGAAGCTTACTGCCCGCGGAGGCGGCGGCGATACCGGGTCTTGCGCGTGGCGCTGCAGGTCGAGATACAGGTCTGGGTCTGGCCTCCGATCCTCGGGAATTCGGAGGGGCACATCGCGAGGTCCGCCCTGCTTGTCGTCAAGGAGGCATGACAAGAGCGCGCGCGGGGGATGGGGGGTGATTTAGCGTTCTATCCGATGGGGCGTGTGCGCATGATAATTTGTGGATGCCAACCGGGAGGGGGGAAGCGCGGTCTTGGGTTTGGATCGAGAAGAGGCCTATCGCTTGTCTTCATTCGTAGCGGGAGCGGCGGGACGGTGTTTTTTTTTTGTTGGTGTTAGCGCACAGAAGCAAAACATGCCAACTATCGAATAGGCGAGAAAGTGCCACGTACATCCAAGAGAGCAAGCAGCCTTGACAAGAAACATTTGACGCTGTGTTATTCTAAGTGAAAAAAATGAGCCCGCATTTTTTTTCCAGCGGTCGCGCAGTCACTCATGCTAATCACACCTCACGTTTAACGATGACAGAACGGGAGCTGCAACGCAATGCCTTGTTCGTGGGCTAGGCTAGCTTGTGCAAGCTATAGCAGTCTTGTCGGGCGGCTGCCAGCGGTGCTCCAGGCATTCTTCGCTCCAACGTCGCTACTCAAGCCAACTCTGGATACCCATGGCTTGACAGGAAGCATTACCCTTGACCGAAAGCAAGCGTGATCCCTTCAACGAAATCTTATTATCTGACCGAAAGCAAGGGGCATCACATCCACACAATATCAAGACTCACGTTCCCAGGTCTTCCTGGTCCCCCTCGCAGGCGGCACAGTCCATGTAACAGGCCCTGCAGTCCCAGCCAATCCCGAACATGTTGCAGTGCAGGCCCTGGCAGTCCTTCTCGTAGTAGACACCCTTGTCCTTTTGGGCTAGCTCCGTCTGGGCAATTGAAACAAAATCAACGGTCATTTCGACCACAAAAAAAAAAGGCGGTGAGGTTCAGACACGCGTTGTAGACACCACTCTCGAACGGGACAGAACCACACGCATTGTATGCATACGTAGCTATTTCTCTTTCAACGATACATCCGTATCAAATCACCGCGGTCCTTGAAAAATGAGCTTCGGGACGAGTAAGCGACGAATCAAAACCGTGCCGGCACACAGGTAGGCCATGACTGACTCACCGACATCTCGGGAGAGAGGAGCGACACGCAGTCCACCTCCTCCACCTCCTCGTCAGCCACCACCGCCGGCATCGGGGTGTGAGGCTGCGAGCGGCCGGCGACAGGAGCGGGGGTTGCACGAGGAGCGGGGGTCGCGCCGGGCTCGTCGAACTCGCCATCCGGGAAGTAGAAGAAATTGTCGTCGTCCTGGAAGCCGTCGATCGAGTCGAAGTCTTCCGGCAAGTAGAAGAGCCCGTCGTCGTCGTCTTCGAACTCGTCGGTGCTCGAGTCAGACCCGCCGGGCATGGTGGGTGCGGTGTGGTTATGCGGCGTCGGTGTCGGTGTCGGCGAGGGCGTCGCCATCGGGAGGCTTCCGTCTGGAGAATTTGCGGCCGACGTGGGCGGGGAGAGCACCAAGGAGGCGGAGGGGTGGTTAAGGTACGAGGAGAGGATTGCGTTTTTATTTAAATCTCATTTATTCTGGACGTCGGTCATTCCACTTTTTTCGGAACAATTTCTGGACGCACCGGCTGCGGTCACACAAGAGGAAAGGCCACACAGAAGCTGGAATCTACCACAGATGGAAGAAAAGTCCAAGTAACGTTCAGAGTCGTCATACATATGTTCACTGCCCCAGCGTGGTAGTCAGCCATGCGAATTGTACAAGTCGTTGGCTGCCTCAATGTCGTCATCCAACCTCAACAACACCACAAGGAGAGGAGCGCAAAGTCTGATGGTGTTTTGAAAGAGGCCAAGCGCAGCACCTACTACCGGAGCCTTCAGACCTTCTGCAGCCAAACCAGCAACCGCGATACCGCAACAAACGAGCCAGAAATCAACAACATTGAAAGGAAGGCGAAACCGCTCGAGCTACACCAACAAAGCAAACCAACCAAAACACAACCTAGACCATTATGTATCGCAGAAATACGTAAAGTTTCGAGGTTTTCTGACCAAGGGCGCGTGCGTCGCAGAGACATATAGTACAGGTGCCCCCATCACCGCTGACTCTGGACGGGAGTACGCGGGCGAGCGGGTGAACGCGCCAAGAATCCTCACCGACAAGCGTGCGACGGGTCTCTGCATTTTCTATTTGTCAATTCGATACACTTTCGAAATTCAAAATTCTATCATTCTTCAACATCACTTCGACAACCAACTTACCGTGCGTGGGTGAGGGCGTGTTACTCGTGGGCATTCCTGGATGAGAGGCCGTGGGCATCGCAGCTGGGGCGGTGGTAACCCCCGCCGCCGCCGCCACCGATGTTGCGTCCGATGTCGGTGCTGCCGTAGGCGTGGGTTCGGCAGGCGCTTCGCAGATGCAAGGCACGGGCGGCGGGCAGGTGAAGACGTCCCCAGATACCGGTGGTAGAGCTCCTGCGGTGGCCGGTGCTTGAGTCCACGAGCCCCCCGGCGTCGAAGGCGCGGGGGTAGTACCGGCGGTGGTGGGTGCCACGGCCCCCCTCTCGCTTGGCTGGGAGATGGGCTCTGGAGTCGCTGCGGGCTCCTGAACAGCACCGGTGGGTGGGGTAGACGTCAGGGCGCTCGGCATGGTGGGAGAAGGCGCCGAAGGCGTGGCCGGGGCGGTTGGGGCGGTGGTGGGGGCGGCGGCGGTGGGGGCGGCGGCCGGTGACTCGGTAGTCGATGTGGGCGCCGCGGCGGGGTCTGTTCGAGGCGCTCCCGTTGGCGACGGCTGCAGGCCCTCGTACACAGGTGCCGGCGTTGTGTCGTCGATTTTGAAGTCGTAGGACATGGCGGTCGGGGCGCTGGGCATGATGGGAGAAGACGCCGAAGGCATGGTAGGAGAAGGCACCGGAGGCGTGGCAGGCGCGGCAGCGGCCGTGGGGGGTGCGGCGGCGGTTGGCGCGTCGGCGGCGGTTGGGGCGGCGGCGGTTGGGCCGGGTAGGGCAGCTGGCGACGGTGAATCGTCTGGTGCTGTAGAGATCGGGGCCGGCGCCACCACCGGGGAAGGAGAAGGTGAAGGCGAAGGTGAAGATGATGACTGGCGCTTGTCGGATGAAACCGGAGCCGTCGTCGTCGTCTCTTCCACCGGCGCTGTCGGTGACCGTGAGCTCGGAGGCGTGCTGGGGGTTGGCGGTGATGGCTGCCCGGGCGTGGCGACAGGCTGCAGGCCCTCCGACGCAGGCGCCGGCGTTGGTCCGTCGAAGCCGAAGTCGTAGGACATGGATGTCGGGGAGCTCGGCATGGCGGGAGGCACCCCGGTCGGCGAAGGCGCCTGGTTCTGGCCTCCAGCGGGCGCCAGCGTGGCAGTGGGCGAAGGGTCATGGCTCGGGGCGGGTCTAGCAGCTGGCGATGGCGAAACGTCTGGGGCTGTGGAGATCGGGGCCGGCGCCACCACCGGGGAAGGAGAAGGTGAAGGTGAAGGTGAATATGGTGACTGTTGCCTGTCGGATGAAGCCGGAGCCGTCGTCGTCTCTGCCGCTGGCGCCGTCGGTGATGGCGAGCTCGGAGGCGTGCTGGGAGATGGCGGTGATGGCATCCCAGGCGTGGCGACAGGCTGCACGCCCTCTATCACAGGCGCCGGCGTTGGCCCGTCGAAGCCGAAGTCGTAGGACATAGGCGTCGGGGCGCTCGGCATGATGGGAGAAAGCGCCGAAGGCATGGTGGGAGAAGGCGCCGAGGGCATGGAAGGTGCCACGGCGGTGGGGGTGGCGGCGGTGGGGGCGGCAGCGGTTGGGGCGGCGACCGGAGGCTTGGTTGTCGACGTGGGCGCCGCGGCAGGGTCTGTTCGAGGCGCGTCCGTGGGTGAAGGCGCCTGGTTCTTGCCTCCAGCGGGCGCCATTGTGGCAGCGGTGGAAGGGTCAAGACTCGGGGCGGGCACAGTAGCTGGCAATGGTGACGCGCCTGGGGCTGTGGAGATCGGGGCCGGCGCCACCACCGGAGAACGTGAAGGTGACGACGGTGACTGTTGCCTG